GACAGATATATGAATCCAAAATCACGGGAAAAGTTATAGTCTACAAAGTGACAATCCCGCCTTTTGCACAACAGACGGTGGATATTTGTGTAGCCTACTAGGCGAAAGGGAGTGGGTATTCTGACATAACAAACGGAATAGTAACTAGCCTAGATTAAACAGACTAACCAAGGCCTAATCAGTAACTTAGGATCGTATCAAAGAAGTTCAAGAAAAGAGAAGCTAGAGGTCCGACTGCCCTGATTTTGTATGCACGCAGTGGAACGTTAAAAAATGTACTGTCACGTGATAGGGGCCCTATTAGAATTCATATAGAGTTCGCTGAAACTCGGCTTTTAAGGACACGCCCCTTTATGGCAGTACTTCTGTGAAATAGAATTACGTTCCAACGAAACCGCGAGAATCGGACCTCTTGCAGTTCTATTCTCTTTGGTGCAAGTAATTGTAGACTGTGTTGTGTCGTGTGTGTTTGTTTATGTCGATTGACCTTTGACATAGATTGCGCAGGTCAAACTACGAAGTGACTTATTAAACGCGAACTAACGCCAAAGTTGGCTTTAATAGTCTTATATAGGCCTACAAAAAACATAAAAGTTTTGAAAGTAGGCCTAAGCAATAAAACCATTTTTGCGTTACCTTGCTATATTGTGAACCGTCATATACGCGATGAATATGACGTACACGATGACGTGCAGTATGACGCACGTACATTCAGGGTTCAGCTATGACGCGACGAGTATCCTTAGTTAATATGGACGCGCGCGTTGGAAAGCCTATCAGCTGTCATGAGAGAACTATTTTAAGTCTAGAGTGTTTATATTTGTTTTTATACTTCAATAAAATTCTTTATTTCTGATAAACAATAAAATATGGACGAGGTAAACGTGTCGAAATAGAATTATTTGCTTCAATACAGTCATGATCTTTTGAAAATAAAAATGTGACCTACATACACCATTAAACATTTCAACCAATGGCTTCTTCATTCTAGTTTTTTTTATTATATATACAATCATTTTGATAAAAAACATGCAGTCACTACCTTTATATCACTTTACCATCATAAATTGTTTTCACAATGATTTCGCTGATGTGTTTTGACTTTTGTAACACACTTACAATAGCCTTTTAAACTTAGTACCTAATGACATGCACAGGCATAAATGGTATTGATGGCTCCGCATTTTAATTGTATATAAACGAGATATGACTTTCTAACATTAGAGAGGTTTCGCAAACGAATACGTTTACGCATACGTTTAGCTATCCGTAACGGTCGGTAGCCATTCTGGATTTGTCGCAATCACAGTGCAGTTCAAGCGTAGGCTTAGGCCTAGCGCCTTAAGTAACCTAGGGCCTAGGTGGTCTATTCTCCGTTTTCTTCTCTCATCATGCTTCTCAAAGTTTTATGTAAGGTTTTTGGGAATTGAAATTGGTAGCCGAATTATACTCCTGTCTTTGCTACCCAGAAAAGTTGGTTATTTTGTTATAGGCTCTATTGTTTATGACAATACCATACCGTAGAAGACATGCACACAAGGCATTAAGTTTTTTATATAAAAAATATGCATTACACTCCATCGAGTCGCCGATGTTTTGATACCCCAAAATGAGACGCATCCTATCGTAATTTGCTGTCTTCAAATGCCACAAAAATGGCACGTACGTATTCAAAGATACATTTAATTTTTACACTTACTATAAAATGTAAAAAAAAAAAACGAAGATCTTATTAGAAATCCAAAATTTTCCTAAGCGTTTTTCACTTACGTATAGTGTGAGACATATGCGTGTCGTCCACACGCTTAGCGGATAGCAAACCGGCGTATAACGTCATAAATGGTGACGTATCCGTCACACTAACTGTAACCGTATGCGTTCGCGTGCGAACCTCACTATTATTTTTATTAGGTGTGCGGAAACTCTAATGTTTGCTGCTGACAAATGCTATTTTTACTTGTCTTTGTTATATCTTAATTTAGAACCAAAATTATAAGATGAAAATTAAAAATTAACGAGTGTGAATGTGTGAACCTTCTTAACAATTTTTCTTCAATAATGACATTAAGTTTATTTATATAAAAAAATATGACACACTTTTACCATTAAACATTTCAACTAATGGCTTAATCATTCTAGTTTTCATACATTTAATAGTTGATAATGCTGCCTTTATATCACTCACATTGACTGAATTTATAATTGTATTTACACTTATTGGTTTCACAATTATGTTATTGTCGTTGATGTATGGGTTGGTTGGTGTAACTTATCTTAACAGTTTTTGAAAAATTAGTAATGCGCGTGTCATCCAATAGACTTTAAAGCTAGGCGTGTCTACGTATCTTAAGGCCAACTCAGACAGCGTCGGCCGACGCAGCCCGACCCGATTTATCGTCGGGGACAGTCTTAAGCCGTCGTGAGAAATATTAAACATGTTTAATATTCTACGACGCGACTGCCCCCGACGCACACCATCGCGTCTGCGTCTAACTCACACAGGCCCGACGCGACAACAAATCGCGTCGGGCTGCGTCGTACGACGCTATCTGAGTTAGCCTTTAATCGTATATAAACATACAGTAGGACTACTTTAGAGCGATGCATCTGAATTAGTTAGAGCAAGCATTGATGTGCCTGCTATATTAGAAGTTCACGGAGTACAAACGCTTGCCGTGTACTTAAGAATCATAATTTACAGTCGTTGCCGGCTAATAATTCGTTAATGTTAATGCGATGCCGTGTTAACTGGAACAAATTTTCTTAGATTTTAAGTAAACTGATCTCTAGGCAGTTTAAAGTAAAGCATTCGTCGAAAATATACAATAAACGTCAACTGCATTTGAAAGCATAATTCTCGTGCAAAAGGAAAAACAAAAATCGTCGGATTTAAGTAGACACAATTGCTACAACATTACTGTATTTCCGTCGTAATTTATCCAATAATCAAGAATTGTTTGCGTCAAACATCTTAACCCAAACATCTTTATTGCTCGTATAAGGTCGTACTGTGCCCGGGAGTACACGGTCTACAAACGCCTCACCAATTAACCATCCATAACAATGTTATAATAGCTACATGTTAATATTGGCGATTATGTCATGTAATTGAATAATGATCACTCACGTCTTGCCACATGGATAGTTGTGCTGACCTAATCACAATTTCTTTAGTTTTTGTAGATTTAGTGCTGCTAAATCATTATAGCAAACATAAGAAATGGGGTTATCCTGGGAGCGATATATAACCTCTTTGCGTAGTATACATTACTTATTGTCAGTATCTCTTGCTGTACCGTTATTGATACTTAACAACAGTATGGTTGTTGAAACAAAGATTTGCATGACTCGGATTTACAGAAAAGAAGTCAACATCGGTCGCTCTGATGAATTATAGGCCTACACTATGCAAAGCAATTTAATTTTGTAATCACATACAGGCACATATATATACGATGTATCAATGTTCCATACACGCATTTTTGTCTCCTGTAAACTGCGGGCTGTCAGTAATTTTGATGCACAACTCATAGGCCTACATTGTGAAGTTGTGCCATACATTCGACCGACACGGTTCTCTAACGTCATCATCATGGCGACCGGTTACTTAGGTTTGACCACACATTATACGTTTGAATGAATATTGATATCGCTTTTGATTTCTGCGTTTGAGGATTCAGGCCTACCTAGTTATAAATGCCGATAAGTAATAAGAAAAGGGCTAATAAGTTTCCAACTACGTACACGAAGAAGAAGAATCTGTCCAGTACCCTTGACAGCAACAACCACTCGTTCTTGATCCGTTTGTGGTTGGACTGAGTTGTGGTTCGTTCTTCTCCAGCTTTGTTCTTGAGTAGGTCTTTGATGATACCAAGTTCTTTGAGCATGCTCGACATGAGTCGTACTTCGTCCGACGACTTTGACGCATGTACCACGGTTTCTCCTTGAAGCACGCCCTCGTAAGACGGCGGCGTTACTAACGGTGTCATGTGCATTTCGTTGAATTTATCTTTAGTTTTTTTCATATAACCGTTACGCTCTTTGTGTTTTCGGCCCTGCATCATGTAGTATTTTCCATAACCTGGCGAAGAATCATCTTCACTTAACTGCAAGTGCTTAGTTGGGATTCGCAAAATCGCTAATATTCTCCGGTGGATCATCATTTTCGCCCATGTTGGTAAGTATCTGCCCTCATTCCCGCGGTAATACAAACTAGCAACAGTTACATTCATAAGTAGGGAAAGGGACACAAGAATCATGGTGATGGCGAAGTACTGACCTGCATGACAATAACAAATATAATTTGAGGTTAAATATGAAGTACTTAATAGAACCACGTACAAATAGAGACATGAATACTAGGAAAGAAATTGAGAAAATGAAGTCATTATTAGTAAAGTCCCTTGTGTTTGTATATGCAGCCTAGCAAGGAGCCTCTTGAAGACGTTTAGTGGCCTATATAATCATGTATAATTAAATTGACTTGCTATAATAAGTAATCATATATTCTTGTCATTTAAATACGACACAATGCCACTGATGATTATCTGTAATAATATACTAGCTCACATGTGAGAATGTCATTGGGATCATATTATTTAAAGAGATATTCTTACCGATAATGGGCACTTCGTTTGTATGCGGCACAGCATCGGCCACAACCATCAGAAACACAGTCATAGACAATAAAAATGTGACACCCATGTTCACTTTGCCCTGGGACTCAGGTGGCAGAAGGAACGCCAAAGATGCCATAATTGCAATTAGGAAGCAAGGTGTGATTAGATGAAATACGTAATATAGAGACCGACGTTGAAAATAGATTGTAAATGTAACATCGGTGAATGGTACGCCAGGGTCGTCAGGATAATATTCGACGTTGTTCTTAGCAGATAGATCATACATATCCCACTCACCATTGCTGACAAACACATCCGCATATCCTGAAAAAAAATCAATTTCGAAAAATAATTTAGGGCCTCTAAAGTACATATAGATATTCTTTCATGAAAACCCACATTAAAGGAAGAGTAAAGTATGTTTTTCTACGGAGGAAGATATCTCTTCAACGGTTTCATCAAAAATCATATTTATCATTTATTAAATATTATGTATACCTATGAATTTTAAGTATTATTGGATAATTGTTTACCTTACTTTTCTAAAGAATACACGTATTTACCCCAATGAGTATTAATTTCGAACATTATTTAACCTATGCACATGATGTTGAAATGTATCTTACAATTAACGAGTAAGTGTGGCCTGAAGCCGTCGCTGCTTAAATGCAAGGCGCCAATGTCAGCGGTACTCTATTATTGTGTAAATAAAATGTTTAACGGACAAAACAGACGTACTACTATGAATAATCATTCCTTCTAGATGGTACTTGTGATAAACACGTATCATTTATTAAATTCGGAGCACTAATATTCGTTGTCAGAAATTCTACTACTGTGCCTAACTATCAATGTTCTTTTGTGTATTTTTGTTTTTTTAATTTAACAACAAAGTTGATATTACGACAAAGTTGATATTTTCAGACTTTAATTCCCAATCGCAGCTAATAAAAGTAGTTTAACCCATTTAAATAAATGAATAACATTTAAAAAAAAATAGTAAATATGTTTTAAACCCTTCTGCAGACAGAATATTTGACGAGAGGTTAACGCTGCATTCACACCGAATCCTCGCGCGTATAAAAATATGGACGCTGGCGCTCAGCGCACATCTGAAACACGCTCCGAATTTCGGTTCGGATCCCATGTGAACGCAGCTTAAGTTTAGATATTCTTACCGGTGCCGTTAATAATCAATTCGTGGCCACTATGCTGCCACGGACCAAACTTCATCTGGCATTCTTGGTTGTCAAATGGGAAATATTTGACTCGAACTAAGCAGTAACCCTTGAATATGACGGGTGCGCCCCACATAATCTTCCCGTTGTAGTGGATCTTGGCCAACTCAGTTTCCATGAAGTGTCGATGCGATTGTGTAGCGCTGCAACAAACGATATTAAATATTAATGATTAAGCAGTGTACGATTAGCGTAGAATAACCAAACCCAGAACTCACCTTTTCAGCTACGTTTAATTTTTACTTTTTGTATTTTACTACTTTTGTTTTTACTTTTTCTGTTCTCTCTTTTCTGTTTTTTTCTTGCTTTGTTTTTTACATACTCTAGGGCCTCTATACTGCCCTCATCGGAGCTTTCGAGATTACGACAACTTGTTTGATCGAATGATAGGAAAGGTCCACCACCACAGTTTAAGACGCGCAGCGTCAGTCATGGGCAGTTACATTTCTGTCTGGGAGCATAGTATGCCCTGTCTCTTATACACATCTAGATGTGTATAAGAGACAGGGCCTACCTAGTTATAAATGCCGATAAGTAATAAGAAAAGGGCTAATAAGTTTCCAACTACGTACACGAAGAAGAAGAATCTGTCCAGTACCCTTGACAGCAACAACCACTCGTTCTTGATCCGTTTGTGGTTGGACTGAGTTGTGGTTCGTTCTTCTCCAGCTTTGTTCTTGAGTAGGTCTTTGATGATACCAAGTTCTTTGAGCATGCTCGACATGAGTCGTACTTCGTCCGACGACTTTGACGCATGTACCACGGTTTCTCCTTGAAGCACGCCCTCGTAAAAAGGGTACCATGCCGGGATTCCATATTCAAGTATAGGTCTACAAAGGGTCTTAAAAAGTAACATCAGGGAAACGGGGTTATTGCATCGGACAATTCTTTTTATAAAACCAGAAAGTCTTGAGGCCTTAGCAGTAATCATATCAACATGTGCGCTCCAAGAAAGGTTATGAGAAATTATAAAGCCAAGGAAAGGTCCACCACCGCAGTTTAAGACGCGCAGCGTCAGTCATGGGCAGTTACATTTCTGTCTGGGAGCATAGTATGCCTTGTTTAGGATCACTTATGCGTAACTATCTACATTAGTCTCATTGTAAGCAAATTAGTTGCGCGTTTTTGTCTGGTTTATTATTAAATTTCAAACCAGAACCCAGACCAATGATATTGGATACCAAATTTAAAACATGCTTAGCTAATCTAGGACTTCAGTGAAAAGAAGAACGACAATACAAAATACGTTTTATCCTATTAAATCTAATTCATGTTCGATTTAATTGATTGCCTGGTTAAAATCTCGGGGACAAAATGTCGGTCGTATTATTATTACAAACGCGATCCATCTCTCTAATAAAGACTTTGCAAAAGATTTTTTTTTTTATTAAAATACTTCTCTAATCAGTCTTCCTTAACTTTTACGTCGTTAATTCCCAATATAATCAAGATGACTTCTTTTCTTTAATGTTAAGTCGAATAATAATTTGAAGCAACTAATGAACATCAAATAGTACTGAATTTTCTTGTAATAGGCCTACATATATTCACGTATATTGTAATATGAATCCATATCGTATTAAAACTAGCATTCCATTTGCGATCAACAACATTCATTATCTACCTGTCGCAAAATTGATTTTTAAGACGTGTAACATCACCATCACATATTTCTATTAATTTTTTAAAATTTGAATACTTAATTTTTTTAAATTTGTATTTATTTATTGGTATAAAAAGCACCCAGAAGGCAACAAAAAATGTTGAATATTATCTGAATTTATAATGTAAACGGAAGAGATTACAAGCCATTAAACGAAATAAATTTATGCCTAAACTAAAGCATCAACATTTGAAAAGATTATAAACAGGAATCACAATACATTAATTATACAAGAAAAACATAACATTAAATTTATTACAGGCAAGCTGTTCATTCTATGTACAATTATTGTCATTAAAATTTAAAAGTATTACCAACATTTGCAACAATTGCAAAAAAAAAATACATTATTATGCATTATTATAAAAATATACTTATCTATAAAAATACATTAAATTGATTGCAACAAACTTAATTCAAAAATAAATTGTATGCATATGCCTATGACGATTATTTTGTATGACTTGCTTGATTGTATTATTTATAAATTACTGTCGTATAATAAACCTAAAATAAATCAGGAAAACGGGGAAATACAAAATGTTAATATAATTATACAAAAGATACCACAATATCACCGTATTAGATTATATTGAAATGTGGTTGTAAATATTAAAAATGAAAATATAATATAAGCCTAACTGGATATTGTTAGAAAAGTGTAGTTGAAAGTGAGCGAAATCCCGAATAAGTTAACAGTTAAAGTGTGGCTTAAGTGACAAATAGTGTCTAGATGAAAAATGATATTTTGGAAGTGGCGGTCTTCGGGGACAGAATTACCCATCAGCAAATCGTGTTATATGTAACTAATAACCAACAGCTGGTCTCCGGGGGATGTTTACGAGAACCAGCAGAAAAAATCCGAGATGTAAAAACATTACCGTGATATCTAAATTTGTGGGTCCATATTAATAATAAAATGGAATATTATAGATAGTTGAGAAGTGCTGAAGCTCCCAACAACGTATGACGTCATCCAATTTAGTGTTATATTTGACATGATTCTATAGGAATTCATTGGTCTATGTTGAATATACAATTATTAAGTACTGTGTTTTTAAAATATGTATTAAATTAGAAATATACTATCAGTGGGGTATCAGTGGTCTTGAAATAGAGTGGGGATGAGAAGGTGAGTTGGGGTGGGGGTTTAATGATTAAGTGAGGGTTGGTAGATCGCAAAATAAAGTGATTTTAACAACTTGAGCGTGATGTTTTGTTTCGGACATTTTCAATGAGGAGGAGGGTGGAGGAGGAGGGTTGAGGGCGAGCGCCGGATGGAAAAAAAAAATGGGTGGAAACGGGCCGAAACCTCACTCTTCGCTCTTTAGTTTATGTTCATACATAAGCTGTAAAAATGTAGGCCCTATACCAGTTATTAACATGTGTAGCATGTCAAAAATCAATTAAAAACGGCACAATCAAGAAGTGCAAGCCGGATCTGGTTAAATAAATCTGTTTATCAATACCAGTTTTTCAAACGCGTGAAAGATAAAATAGTCGGCAGGCCTATAATGATCAAGAATGAGTGACATGTTCTAAACTACATTCACCGATGAACTAGTTCTTTGTACTGTATTGCCCTGCACGCATCTCACATGTTCTGGAGTGTTCATCCTCATTATCATCATCATCATCATCATTTTTCTTTCATTCCGTCACGCACAAAAATCTCAATTACGAAACGATTAGATGGCGTGGTTCTGTTTATTGCCGGATATTTTGCTAACGCGTCAGCCAGTCGGCTTATTCAGATGTTCAACATACAGATCTGTTGGCAGTTAGTCGAGAAATGCCAATTAATGTCATAGGAAAGTCGAAGTTCCATCAAACTTGTCATTGTAAACATGTTGCTCCTAAATAAAGTCAATGAAGTTTCAGACCCGCGAATGATCTCATTTTGATAATTGAAAAAAAAACATGTTATATTTTTTTTGCAGTATAACAACAAAAACAACAAAAATAATAATAATGTAGAAGATGATGGTCATCCAGATGCCTGTTAAAATGTAAATATCCAGTGCGACTGGTTTTTCATGGAATCGCTACACAGCCGCTACAGCGTTTTCACTGCAATCCTGCACTGCGTAGCTGTCCCCGACGTAATCGCGGAGACAGCTACGCAATCTCTGATTCAATTGGCTAATCATCGTCGCCAAAGAAGTCGGCGATAGCGTGTAACGATTTTTATGGCCCAGGCTAAAAGATGCGATTGGCAATGCGTAGCTTGATTATGTGAGCTTGGTTTCCATACAATCAGCATCACGTTCAACGTTGATTTGGTCAAGTTGCGTCCAAGAATCCACGAAACGAGGAACGTTCTCAATCGAAAGCTTTCTATTGATTCGACAGAAGTAGCCGTTAACACTTCACGCTCAGCTTTGTCGGGAACAGATTAACTACAACTTCAAGGAAATGAGTTGGATTCTATGGACGCGAATTAATAACCATGGACAATAGATTTCTTAATTTCGTACGCATTAAGTTGTTAGAATATAACCAATGTTAGTTTTGTAAGATATTAAGGTCATAATTTTGATCGGGAAGTGTTGTTTTTATCATAAATCACAAGATACTTGACAACGTCTTATTTTCACAAAAGGCTCATAATAATTAGTGGCAGTGTTTAAGCTAATGATGCAAGCTAACGCAACATTAAAGTCATCGTCTGCGATAATTTAGTGAAGCATATTGGTACATGTGACTTAGAGCGCAACGACAGGTAGAAGGCGCCTTTACTCACAACTCAACTTCTCAATTCAAGTCAGCAAATTATAGGGGGAAAAAAAACAAACCTCTCGTAAAAATAGATGTCAGGAAGCCATATATTTTTAGCCGGTACAACAATCTTTGTTATATTTCCGTATTCGCTCGGTTCCCATGTCAGAAATTCGTCCATCCAAATCTGTAATCAATAAAAATCAGATAGGATCAAGATCTAGTTAATTAGCCCTTAGTTCTGTCCACATTATCAAATTTTATGTAACAAATTTGTGTGATGTGACATCCTTTAAATCAGGACTTAAAATATTTTGACTAAGAAATGTCGATTTTGGGCGCGGAGAAGTCAACGCGCCATCAGCGTTGCCGCGGAAAGAATACCGGCGCGCTGCAAATGCTCAATATTATTTATATTATGTGCCAATATATGGGCATGATTATGTGATATTACTCCCAAATATGGGCATATTAACATTTATTTGTCCCCTACAATTTTATAGTGTGAACAGGGCTTTAGTGTGACACCTTTTCCACTTTCATAGGTATATACTTCTCTTCTTCATTGCAGCATTTTTTCGTGCAAACACGCACAACTGAAGTGTCTTGTGCTATGTTATGCTGAAATAATAATAATATATAACACATCACTATTGCTGCGTACTTAATATTTAAGACAATCGCTCTTAATAATGTAATCTCTATTTAGATAGACGCAAGGCTGTTAGTTAATGGTTTTCTTCTTTGCTGAATCAATGTAAATGGTCAAGTTAGTTTTTTTTTCAACATGCAATGCATCTTTAGAAAAACATGCAATTGTCAGGAGATAGCTTCCTTCATTTATAGTTCTGTTCATGCCCTACGTTTGTAAGTTATGTATGCTGAAATCTGGTACCTAATCACCTACTTAGAAATTAAGCGATTTGATATAATTTTATTCGAACGTCATTTATCACACGGATTTTCAACAATAAAGAAATTCTAGAGAGGCTAGCGCGTTACATAGGGGTTCAGTGCGTTACGTTAGGATTCAGTGCGTTACATTGGGATTCATGTGCGTTGTGCAATCGGATAAAACATGTTCTAAGTAATCCTATTAGTTTATTTTGATGTTGGGCCCCAGTGACAATAAAAAATGATGCATCCAAAAAACGAAAACGATATAACCAAATGTAAACTCTATCCAAAATTTTAAGTGAAACTTTAAATATTAAAATAAATTAGTGCTAAATAATTACTACTTCCAACATCAACATTTTCGTCCTTGCTTTCAATTCGCTACGATAACATTTTTTTTACAATTTCATGCCAAGGATTACCAATACCGACCTAATCACTGCCCTATCAGATAGGCCTAGGCCAAAGTGACAGACATATACTGTAAACATAATGCTCTACATAAACCAAGTCTCATATTGAGCCTTTATAGAGTGGAGTTGTTTTGTCGTGATAAAAAAAAGTCTGGGATCTGAGAGGATTTGAACCCAGGACCCTGGTATTCGTAGGCGAGCATCCTACTAACCAAGCTATTTAACTTCACTCCCCACATTAGGCCTAATAAAACTTTTTTTAAATATTTTTTATTACTTTTCACAATTTTTTTTTTTTTTGTATAAACTTGGGTTAGCAAATTGTGAGATATACGGCACGAAAATATTTAAAACATAAAATCTGCATCTTACTTCTCCAATCAATCCGCCAAATGAGGCCTGTAGCATCATAGGCCTCAGGTGACAAGCCCATCAATCGGGCAGACAGACAGACGTGCGTGATTGATGGGGAGAGAAGCGTGAAACGTATTTTCAAGCTAAATATAATACTGTAATAATAATAATATTCTTTATTTTGTCCTCAAATATAATACACTGTGGAAATTTGGGCAGAGTCCCTGTGGACCCATGGCAGCCACAGTGAAGGGAATACGACTTCAATTAACTACAACATACAACGGATGGTCCTTAACTCGCCTAACTCTCCTGAAAGGGTTATTCGAGGAGCAGAGTGTTTATAAAAGACCCAAACCCGGGCTCTGGCTTTGCACACAACGTTGTGATCGGCCTACTTTTGTGTTGGCTGGGTTCTCAAAGGTCCTCCCGCCCCTGAAATCTCTTGCTAGAGGCCGAATTGTTAATGTTTTACTCAGATCAACTCACCATTGTCAACCAAGTACTGCTGGTAAGTGTCTGCTTTCGTTCATCCTTGATTAAACAGAAAAAATAATAAATTATTAGAAACGGCTTCACCAATGACTCTGATCAGGTTACCAGCATCATAATATTTTTATTTTTTTAATCAGATTGAAATATAGAAATAAGCGTAAATCTTTGCACACATCATTTCGCATACAGTAACTAGAGTCTGAAAACACACTCCATGCAGTGGTGGCTCCATAAATTTTCCGACGAGGAGTCCGACATATTCGACAGCGGGATCCGAACCATGGAGCCGACTAGAGCCTTGATCAGGGTCCCGGAATACGAATTCCTAGTATAGGGTTCATGAGCAGAATTTGTATGGCTTAATGTCCCAAAATTGTGTTTTAGAACATAATATTAGGGACTGGCCATCAAAATAACGTTTTGAATAGGAAAATATTAATATTTTGGTCTGACGACCTCGTCGTGGCGTCGGGCGACAAGAGGGTCCAGGGCCACTGCCGCCACCACTGATTCTACGCTGAGCTCCTACCACGTGGGCTCTTAACTGATAGTTCAGTTACCGGTATCATAACAATTGTCCAATCAGATTAGGAACTTGAATACGCGCATTCCCGCTTAAACACACAAGCTCACGTACGTCTGCTGTCCTATCTTTTTGCAGGAACTTAGCAATAATATCCAAGGGGCTACTACTTACTATTTTATTACTACCACTCGATCCTACCTCTTTTACTACCACCACTACTTTCAGGCACTACACTATAAAATGAATACATAAAACTGGCCCATAGGAATTTAGTTACACATATACAGTAGTCATAATTTAAGATTCGGGGCTTTATGAGGTGGTTATACAAAGTCTAAGAACAGCGTGATCGGTTCAGAATCTGAATACTTAGTAGCGTTGTTGTGTCTGTGTTGCTGAATTATGGTCTCTTATCCCTGGATAGGCAATTACACGTAATAATATATAGCATGAGAATTTGTATTTACCATATCCAGCACATGGGCAATAAAGAATTGGAGTTCCAATTCCGTGACGGTCTTCGGGTCCCGGACAGGACGCACTCGCGTGTCGTATCTCGACCCATTAAAAAGTGTCGTCAGCAGACCCGTATGATATTCATCTGTCATGGACACTGAAATAACACACATTGCTACAAGTAAAGAAATACGTAAAGACTTGTCAACACCAAAGAAAGCAAAAGAAAACAAAATGAAAAAAATAAAAGCAAAGAAGCAACAAACTATATAAAACTAAAACAAAAATTATATAAAATAAATATTTAAAGGCTATAGACAATCTAACACAAACAAAGTAAGGAGTGTCAAGCGTTGAAGTATTATAACCGTGATAACCAAATTGTAAAATAAATTGTAATTATAAAATGTTATATAGATAATTACATTTCTTATAGGCCTACTATATATAGATGATTGCACTTCTCGTTGAAACGGTCACACTTTTACGCGTTTAATTATGTAAACACAGCCTATGTTCGTGAAAATATCAGTAATATGGAAGATGTAAATGTTATGACTGAGTATTATGTATCCTGACGCAGTAGCCATGTTAAAAACATAAACACTCAGCACGAATTTTATGTATACTACCAGGACGATGAATGTGTTTACGAAATACTATATCCAATAAAACCGAATTGACCTGTGTCCTCATTGTAGATATGATATACAGCAAAAAGGCATACGTTTGTCCAACTTCTGCAGTTTATTTCAGAGGAATTTAAAACAAGATGCCAATAAATATAATTATGCAATTAAATAGTATCAACATAAACTTCAATAGCAGAGAAAAAAAAGAAAGAAAATTGGAACAGATTCTGCATTGCATGATTTCTTGAGTAGTTTTTGTAGATTTCTCAATTCTGACTTGCTAACATCACTGTTGCAGCTTAAAGCTATGTTCACATCAAGCCTGGATTCCGGTCCGGAGTCCAGAGAAATAATCGTGAATCGTGTTTTGAATGAATATATAAGGACATTACGAATGGTGGTTAGGCGGAAAAGATAATCGTCCAAAGAACATGGCTCATGACAAGAATGCGTGAATATTTACATAACAGCAAAATAGCAGATGCAATTAGTGGTGGTGGGTAGTGGTTAGCTTGTTGGCCATCGGCCGATTGAGATTAGCAGGATGGCAGGATTATTGTATTTTTTATTTGAAAACTCAGATGAGAATGTGCTAAAGGTGCAAATTGTCGGAAAAGAAAAAAAGGGGTAGGACTAGGCATAGACAAATATGTAAAAAGAGTAAAGTTGTAAATATACTGTCTGTCCAGGGATCGGAGCTCTCGTCTGTCCAAGAGAAATATCCTTCATTTTGATATTGACCGAAGAAGAATGTGTTTCCACTCTGCAGCTCAATTATGCCAACAACCACAGTCCAAGGATTGATTGGATTATTAACTTGCTGAAAAGAAAATCTTAAGATATCGCGCTTATTCAAACGGGGCGCTTAAGGGAATTTTCACGTTAGGAGGGGCGGTTATTCGAGATGGACGCTTATTCAAACGGGGCGCTTATTCGCGTTCCGTGCGCGATGTGAACGCAGCGATGTGAACGCAGCGTTCAAAAACGTAGCACCTCACGATTTTTTGTCCGGGCTCCGGAGCGGATCCGGGCTTGATGTGAACGTAGCTTAACTCATGATAAATAGAACCAGGAGATCGAAGGTTAATCAAAATGAATACAAATTTTAACGAAATAAACTGGAAATACTGGGAATGCAGTCTGTATAGGCCTATAAGCACTTTTTTCAGTAATAGTTTTTAGCACTCGGATGATGTCCGTATGAGGGGCAACATGTTTGCAAATTATATGGTTTAGTTCTTTAAAATGTGTGTTCATCTTTATTTCGCTTCGATCTTTTGGTTCTATTATTCATGATTTAAGCTGCAATATGCAGTGATGTTGGCAAGTCAGAATTGAGACAGCTAGAGAAACTACGGTACTCAAGAAATCATGCAAAGTAGAAGCTAATTGGAATGTTCTTAACAATTGTAAACAATTCAGCGTTTATCCCAAATTTATATATAACATACTTAATAAATTTTATTCTGGATATATTTTATTAATTAATTTTTTTCTGTTGTGATAAATTAGCATGATGTTTCAATTAAGTAAATTGTAATTAGTGAATTTTAAACATATATAC